TATCCCTAATGAATTCCCAGTACTGCCTCTGATCCAGCAATTCTTCTGTATAATCTATCAGCACTACAACCTCTGTGGTGTGGCCGGTACTCATGTGGAAAGAGCAATATTTTCTTGGTTTCTTCTTAGCTAGATGTTTTGGAGTGGTTTTGGGCGTCGGATGAAGGGTTTATCCTTTATGCTGTCGATGATGTTATTAACGGTGGTGTTCAAGGCAGTATTCTGTTTATGCTTTGATAGGATTTGCTCGTCTCAGCGTCATTCTCTCATAACTTGTCATAGAGAAAACGCGGGAATGTACCTGTCCATCATTCTTTTGTCAGCTTTTCTAAAGTAATCAGACTCAACGGTTGTCTATCGGCTCTTGTCGTCTCAGTTGGTCAGGTCGTTTTTTATATCAAAGCATTCAACTAGAGTAGCATAGTCGTACTTCTTCTTGTTCAACTTCTTAGAAAGAAGTGGATAGACATAGAGGCCTCGTTTAAATACCATAATCGTGAGTTTGTCATCTGGTTTTTCCACCTCAGCCAACTCTGCTCGAAAACGCTTCAAATAGGCTCTAAGACTTTTATCTTTGGTTTAAGGGAGTAGCCTGAACATAGCCTCGTGGTGTTTTCGGACAGGTTATGAGAGGAGTCAATGCATTTAATCAAAAATTTCAAATACCACCTCATAACATCTTGCACATCCAGGCATTGTTGTTATTGTATAACGCCATGGCATTTCTGTAATGCATGATATGGTAATCAGGGTCAGAATCATCGCAGAATGATTTGAACCTTGGTTGAGAGAATTTTTTCTGGCAGAGGCATTCCTTCGATTGTTGCTGAAAGGGGTGTCCTGACTTAAACCATCAGCCGGCTCGAAGTGCGGAGTTGGATGAGACTTGTATGGTTATCTTCGTTCGAAGAATATCGATGGTTTTAGTTCCCAATAACCTTGTGTTTGTCGAACCTTAAACAACAAGGTTTTGTTCTCAGTACCCCTAAGGTGTTTTGAGGGGGTTTATGTGGATTATGGGTTCTTTCCCCTGTATTTGCGCCTAGGGTCTGTCGATTATCGGTGGATTTCTCTTGGGGCCTGCGGCGTTTGCTGATGCCTAAATGATTAGAGATGTTATGAGGTCACGTTCTTGAGTTATGATGCTTATGCTTCCAAATCCAAAGACGAGAATTTAGATAGGAGGCATTGCCCCGCTCAAGTTCTCCAGGTTTCTTCATTTGTCTTTCCATGTTTGCGAAATTAGAATGGCTCTTAAGATGAGTAGAGGTCTGGTTCTTCTATAGCTTTTTGACAAAAGTGCTGATCTTGGTTAAAGTTTCTCAAATCTGATATAAAGAACCTGCTAAACTTTTCGATATATAAGCACACATCAAATAAGTTTTTTTTGGTTTCGAAGAATTGTCTACCCAAATATGAAAATGATCGATCTGACATTCAATGAGTCATCTGGACCCCCTACCCTAGAGAAACACTGTAGGAAATTCAGAAAGCTTCTGGTCTCCACATTGTCCAGTGCTCAAGCGAAGGAAACCCTCATAAGGTAAACTATATACAAGGCAAGCAAGAATATCTCGGAAACACTCAAAAAGAAAGAAAGGCCGCTTGCAGGAAATGAAGAATGGTGGGCACTATCAACAAGCCACTAGCGATTAATTCTACCATTTTGATGTTTTCAAACCACTAGTTACTCTGCTACCCGGTTCCTAGCGGAGTAAAAGAAATAAAAGGAGATTAATTAGAGGCACATTGCTACATTGTCTAAAGCATGAACATGTTTAGGAAAAAAAAATGAATCTCCAACACCCACATGGCCGAATCAACATAGCACTCACAGTCAGGGGCTTAGCAGATGAGTTACAAAGAATTCGACCTGTATCTTGATCTCCAAGATGACAGTACACCGGGGTCAAAGGCAGACCAAAAAGCCATATACATCAACCTCGATCGTGATAGACCACAATGGAAAGCCAAGATCAGCTTGAAACTAACCAACCGTGAGAAAGAACTATTCACCAACTTCATTCGAGCTAACAAAGACACATTCGTATGGTCAGTAGAAGATGAGCCTGGAATCGATCCCTTTGTGATCTGCCACCGTCTCCACCTGGACCCAACTGTTAGACCAGTTATCTAATGTAAACGAAAGCACAGAACATAACGCCTAATTTATCGTCGAAGTCCACCACCAAGATTGGCTTGCTAATGTTGTGTTAGTGCAAAAAAAAGAAAAAAAGAAAAAAAAAGGAAAGTGGAGAGTATGTGTGCATTTTACAGACCTAAACAAAGCTTGCCCAAATGATCCATATCCACTCCGATGGATCGACCTATTGGTAGATTCAACCGCGGGACATGAACTTTTAAGATCAATGGGTGCTTACTCAGGATACAACCAGATAAAGATATACGAGCCAGACATGGAAGCAACATCCTTTGTTATTGACTAAGGTACATACTACAACATAGTCATGCCCAAACTTAAGAATGTGGGGGCAACATATTAGTGACTTGTCAACCGAATCTTTAAGGAGAAGCTTGATGACACAATGGAAGTCTACGTGGACAACATGGTTGTCAAAAGTAAAGAGAAGAAGAACATATGACACACCTCCAGGAGTCGTTTAACCTACTCCGGAAGTACAACATGAAGCTAAATAAATAAAAAAAAAGTGTACTTTCGGAGTAGCATCAGGCAAATTCTTAGGTTACATGGTTACTAAGCGTGGAATTGAGGCTAACCCAGACCAAATTAAGGCCATCATAGATATGAGATCACCCATAACCGTAAAGGAAATACAAGCCTAATAGGGCAAGCTGCAACCCTCATGATATTTCTTTCACGATCAACCAACAAGTGGAAACCACTCTTTACAGGTATAAAAAATAGCAAGGGTCTACTTTGGATAGATGAATGCGAAGAAGCCTTCACGAAGCTCAAAGAGTACCTCTCCAAACCCCCGTTGCTCTCCAAACTAGTAGATAGATAAGACTTGTACTTGTACTTAGCTGTATCTAACCACGCAGTAAGCGCAACTCTGATTCGAGAAAAGTCAGGGGAGCAGAAACTGACATACTACATATAAAAAACTCTTCTTGAACCAGAGTCCAGGGACAAGATATTAGAGAATGAAAAAAATTTATCTCGACACTAGTAACAGCAGCCTGAAAACTCCGGCCATATATCCAGTCGTTCAGAATGGTCTATATGGCGAAGTATCTGCAGAGATCCATCTTGCACAACCCCAACGCCTCGTCTAAAGTCACTAAATAGGCTATCGACTAGGGCAACATGAAATAACCTACTGACCTATGACGTCAATCAAGGCTCGAGCACTGACAAACCTTCTAGCTAAATTCACACTAATAGCTCAAAATGTCTCAAACGCATCAAGTCCCTAAAGCTTTCCAGAAAATTCCCACCTTTGGAAGCTTTACGTAGACGGATTGTCCAAAATATAAAGGGTTAGCCCAGGAATGGTATTGCAAATACCAGACGGATCCATACTCGAATAGGGTACAAGGTTTTCCTGGTAGGGCTCAGAGTTTTGGAAGAACTCTAGGTACAAGAACTGCTAATTCATTGTCTTGATGCTCATAGTTAATCAGGTCACAGCGGACTACGCCACCCATCATCCTACCATAGGGATTTACCTAAACAGGGTCAAAACACTACTTGAGAAGTTCAAAAGGTATGAAATTACATAGATCCCTAGAAGAGAAAACAACTACCCCGACGCACTTGCCGGAATAGCCTTGAATGTAGATTACTCCATCCGACGGATGATCCACTTCAAATATCTAGAAGTCCTTAATATATGTGAAATGGAGCTTGAGGTGGTCACCGTCATCGACTACATATAGGACAAAAACTACCAGAGGACCGTAACTTGACTAGAAAGTTAATCCAAATGATGTTAAGATATATAGTCATCCGCGGAAAAACTCTACAGACGCTCATATTCCGGACCTTATACCTTGCGCGTCACGCCAGAAGTCGGCCTACAAATTTTAAATGATATTCATTCCAAGGTTTGCGACAATCATGTCGAAGGAAGGTCGTTCGCTTAGAAAGGGATAACTGCAAGCTACATTGGCCTTCCATGCAGCAAGACGCAATTAGTTGTGCGATGAATGTCAAAAGCACGCTCCTATAAACCATCAAAATGCAGAAGAACTTAATAATCCTACAAGTTCATGGCTTTTCAAGCAATGGGGTATTGATTCAGTATGACCCCTTAAGAAAACCCTATGGAACATGCAGTATCTAATAGTGGCGACAAATTACTTCTTGAAATGGATAGAAGAGAAGCCTTTAACAAGAATCACTATTGCGGTTTCGTTTAGAAAAACATCATCTGCCGATTTGGAATTCCCCACACGATATTGATAGACAGCAGTCTACAGTTCACCAGCTCCGAAGTCACAGACTAGTACAACGAGCTCAGGATCCGTCACCTCACTTTCATTCCGACATACCCACAAGGTAATAGACAGGCAGAAGTCTCGTACAAAACCATTTTGCAATGTTTGAAGAAGATACTAGAAGAATAGAAAAACAAGTGGCTAGAAGAATTGCCTAGAGTCCTATGGGTGTATCGCATGACAATCCAGAGAGCCACCGGGCCATTCTCCATTACCTATGGAACGGAGGCCGTCATCCTAGGCCAAGTCACGACTATGCCGAATTTCGATACTGAAGAAAGGACAACCCTAGAAAATGCAGGGATCCTGAAGACTAATCTCGACTTTGCAAAGAGCGTCGAGAATGCGCTTAAGTCCGACTAGAGGCCTATCAACATCAGATCCAGTATGTTACAACAAAGGAGTCAGGCTCAAAAGTCTGCAAGCCATGGATTTAGTCCTGAGAAAAGTTTTCAATAATACCAAGATCCTAGGAGAAGGCAAATTCGGGGAAAAACTAAGGACTGTACAAGATCGCTAAAGTAGGATGCAACAGAACCTATCACTTGGAGCACATGGATGCAACCCCGATCACCAAGAAATGGAACATCACCAAGCTCATAAAATATTTTCCATAAACGCTTCATTCAAACTATATGCGGTTTGATTCCCTTCCCGAGATATGTAGGCAGTCCGCTTCGGACACAATCACAACGCTGCCGTCTGCACGAAACCAAGTCCATGGAGAACTCATCTCCTTACACCCCACCATAGGCTTATTGTCAAAAGTGGTCCTTGTTGTATTTCTTACTTCATATAATCTTTTTGCTTAGAACAAGGCCAGTTTCTCCATCCCGAAGATATGTAGGCAATCCTTTCTGAATTCAATCACACTCTTTTGTTAATCACCCCTGTTTTGATTATGAATAAAGGAGTTCATATTTTAATGTTTGTTCCATCTTTTCTTTTTGGTGGAGCAGGGAACACCTTACTCATCCCAGACAAAGCACAAACATTGAAAATTTCACATGAAGGCAAGTCTAAAAAATTTCAGACACCCGATTCACAAAGTACCTACTTTCACAGACACCCGATTGCCTTTTGCTCCAAAACAGCAGCACCCGAAACGCCAACACCACCGACCTCTCCTTGGTCGACCTCGACAAACCCTCAGGCAAGAACGACGTCGTAATCAAGCTTCCCAAAGACCCCAATGTCCCGAATTTCGGTGTGCAAATTGTGGGTTCCTGCAATGGCTTCCTCTGCGTATACGATAGGCTTAACAGCTGCCGGTTTTACATCTCCAATCCCGTTATTGGTGAGTCCATAACTCTTCCAAGATTTCCCAAGGACATTGGTTTTCCATTTCTTTATGGGTTTGGGTTTTGTCCTGTCGATGGTGACTATAAATTAGTTGTGGTTTCATCTACGAGTAACGGACTGAAATCGAATGAATGGGAGGTAATGGTTTTGACTGTTGGCACTGGAAGTTGGAGAAATGTTGGGAATTCCGTATACCCTTTTGGGAACCAATGGTATGGGGTTTATCATGATGGTTTTCTTCATTGGATTGCTCGTGGCGACAATTCTGTATTGATGCCTTTGATGTTGAAAGTGAGTGTTTCCAAGAGTTGCCATTACCGCCTTGTTCTTTGGGAAAGCGTCTTGTTAACCTTGCAGTCCTGAGAGGCTGCCTCTCTGTATACGTTATCTCGTTGGGAAGTATCAATGTTTGGGTGATGAAAGATTATGGCATTAAGGAATCGTGGGCCGGAGAGCTTGTCATGCAGCAAGTGATTGGGTACAGAACTAGTTTTTCTGCTACTCAATTGTTGAAAGAAGGGCCAAGTGGTGTTTTTACTTAAGTATAAACTGAGGGTTTATACTCATGGAAAAAGGGGCTCTGCTGCGGTTGAAGTTGATGGAATACCATAAATGGTTGAAGCATTTGTCCATATTCCAAGCTTTGTTTCTCTTAAGGATGCCATCATGGATTGGAGCTCAGAGGTAACATCTCTCCCACATAGTTAAGCATTGCTTTTTCTTGCTGCGTGCAATTTGAAGGTCATTTTTTGTGTTTCCCACATAGTTAAGCATTATGTTTGTGTTTCCCTTCTGGTGGCAGATAATTGTTCTGTATTCCCATCCAATTTAGATTACTCTATTTAGCTATTCCAGCGTAAAGTTAAGCCCGTCTTGAATGCATGTTATTAGGGACGGTGTCTAGTTGATTAAGATAAAGTGATAAACCTCTTTCTCGTTCTACCTTTTTTATTTTTTTCATCGCTATTTTGGTTTATTGTTTTTATGTTCTTCTGATACTAGTTGTTATTTACATGACTTCTCAACAAAATGTTATGTCCAAACATGAAAAAGATTATGTGTTCTGTCTCTATTGTCAAAGTGAACCTACTCTGCATGTTTTCACATTTCTTAGTTTCTTGGGAAATAGAATCACTTCCGTGACTAACATTTTTTCTTCTGATAAGACATCCGTGACTAACATTTTTTCGTCTGATAAGACATCCGTGACTAACATTAGTGGGATATGTTGTTGTTGTTGTTGTACTGTCTTGTCATACGGTATGTAATTCGGTTGAAGACTACTGAGTATGATCCATTTTCTCAATGATTTAATTGCTAAGGAGGCAGCTTTTGACAGTGGAGTGTGGAAGAGTGATAGGAATCTCTTAGCAAGATTGTATGTTATGTGGCAAAGATGGTGTTTATTGTGATCAGTCAAGCTGTTTCCACTTGGAGACTGGAGATGGTTTTCTTTTACTTGATTATTTTGAACTTGCTACTGTTACTGCATCAGATGTTGGTGGACAAATATTGTATAGTATGAAAATGGCTCTTGGCAGATAGAGAAGAGAAATAGGGAGTACTAAGAGTCTAGTAGTCAGCTAGTGCCAGATGTTAAAATTAATTATCAGATTATTGACTGGTTTAATCATCAAGTAGGTACTTCTGTATTTGTTTTTTTTTCACGGTCTTTGGTTACAAACTTACAAACATTGTCCGAACAGGCCTCTTCCAATTCACTTTGGAAAGAATTTGATTACTTGGAGTGTCATGCTTATGGTATATTGGACATATTTTACCCTGATGAAGCCTTGAAACACGTCGTCCTCTGTTAGGAATTATTATTTGGTGATGGTTAAGATAATCTGCCTAGCATTAGTTGAAAGATTTTTCATTGTGGAATTCTTGTTTGTAGTTCATCATCTGGTAGTTTCATTAGAGTACGTCAAGGACTTTTATGTGGTAGAAATGCAGTATGTTTGATACTCATCACTCCTTTCAAATTAAACGATTACAGATGGTGCACGTTAGGCTCCTGGTAGATTCCATTCCCTGATGCCTGATGGGCTTTCTTTGAAGTACTTTAGTCACTGTGGCACATAAATGTAGGTAGTTTACTCAAATCCAACCTTTAACTCTGTTGAGAGCTCATGGTTTGCTGAATATTTTCTCGTACAGTACATCCATAGGCTTTGTGCGAAAGCTACAGCATTTTCATGCAAGGTCTTGCTGCATAAGGGCACTAATGATATGGGAAGCCATTTGAATTGGCGTGGTTTTGGAAGAAAATATGATAAACTGAGAAGAAAACATGGTGTAATATATGGTATATTGTTAAGAAATTATAAATAAAATGAGGAAAAGTAATTCCCTAGCTTACCTCTGTTGATTGCTTTATCCATAGTGATCTTTGATTGAAATTTGCCTGTCTGTTATTTCGTATTGTTTTACAGAAATAGATGAGACGGTGTTTGGAAGTTATGGATTAGCTCACAGATGATGAAAAGTTGAAAACAGATTATATTGGTGAAGAAGATATATCCTCTTGAGAAGAAAGACTCTCAGAACGTTCATGCTTCAAGATTAGAAACGCTGTTCGATTTGGTTCATGGTTGCATTAGGTCTTTAACCGTGACGTTATGGTTAGGATTCGAGTTCTAAACTAGGGGAGTTTGTTAAGTTGGTAATACCAATCTGTAATCTATGTCATCTGCATATATGTTCAATTTTTCAAGAGGACTCAAACTGTGTTTTGCTGCATGCATTCGGAATCATAATTTGAGGCTCCCGCTTTATGAATTGTTTTAACTTTTGTTTTAATTTGTTAATTTGTTTTTGCTTCAATATTTTTGAGTTAGTTTTAGTATAGTCCACACACCTGCATATATATAAACAACCAAAGGCACCCAAAAAAATCACCTGATTTAGACCCTTTTAGAATGTATATAACCTTATTCCGGTCTGGTCCGGTATGGAATGAACTTATAATCATGGAACCGACAACTCGATCATTAGATTATAGATTATAAGTTCATAACCCTAGCCCATTTTCTATTTTGGGCAGAACAGATCTACTAATTCTTTGATTCCATTTATTAAGGGGGATCTTGAACTAAGAAATAGATTCTAGAAGCTAAAAAGGGTATCCTGAGCAATATGACAGTATCGAAAGCCTATGATTAACCCTTCTGCAAGTAGAAATTACACCCACATTCACATATTCATACACATAGTTCACTATTGTTAAGAAAGTGTTGTAGTACCTTCTTGAGTCCATATGACAGAGTATTCAACACAATCGTGGTTCACAAAAACCTTGTGATATAGGGTGCTACTATTACAAGGACCTAAGAGACAAACGCAGACCAACCATGAGCATCATAATAGGACGTAAACTTGTCTTAAACATTCAACATTTGCCTCGACCAATTTTTAGATTTTTTTAGATCCATTTTCATGTGCATTTGACATTGTTTTTCGTTATGTGTATGCATTAAATTGTTTATTTAATTGCAGAAATTATTCTTTGATTTTATATTTGATTAATATAGCAATTAGACTGTATCTTTTCCAACAGAAATTTACAAAGAAGGGGCAAGTGTGTTTTTATACAAGTACAAACTGGGTTTATACTCCTAGAAGGCTGGAAGAAAGGGCTCTGCTGGGGCTCAAAGTTGGCTTACTCTGCATGTCTTCACATTTCTTAGTTTCTACTGGACTGGTAGTCAGCTATGCCAGCTATTGAAATGATTAGTCGGATTTACTGGGTTTATGTTCTATCGTCGAATACGCATTTGTGTAGTTGGGATTTTACAGCAGATGCTCACAAACACTGTCGGCAACGGCCTCTTCCATTTCACTTTTAGAGAACAAGCAAAAACGCCCCTGCGATGATGCGGGTTTCAAGACTGTTTAATATTTTCCTACTTTACTGTTCTCAGGCTCATCTTCATCTTCATTATGTAGAGGTGTTTTCTCTTCTGAATTTTTCATTGCAAGGGTTGGCAACAGGTTTCTACAAATTTTGAAAAAGGGAGCTGTTAGTATGGATGGTTTGTCGAATTTAACTCAAAATAGTAGAACATATAACCAAAGCTAAGACAGTTTATTTATGATAATCAAGGTGCATATATAATCCGCATTTCCTTATTTTCATCTACTCTATCAGATACAATGTAAGTGACTAAATGAGTGCATTTAGACTAGAAAGAGTTGACATAGGGATATATAATTTGACAAAGAAAAGGTCTTTATAGCAATAAAAATAAAAAACTGCTTGATAATTGGACAAAGAAAAGGAGGAAGATGAGATGAACAAAGAAAAGGCCTTAAAATTTTGACAGGGGCATTTTAAGCAAGTTAAAAAAAAAAAGGCATTTTCAAACAGAAGATTCAATATCAATATGCAGTAAAAGGAAAATAATGCCTGAGCAAGGGAAAAACCAAAAAAAAAAAAAGTAAACATGAGGATGTAGAATGCCTATGAACGAAGTATTTTCTTTTCAAATGAGAAGATAGAGGTAACTTGCTTACGTAGTGCTTGTGCTAAGGATCGAAGAGAAGGGATAAATTTAATCTCCTTTTTGAAAGCTGAATGAAGTGTGTTGATGCACAAAACCGGAGGTCTTGTAACAACGTAAATCCAATCGTGAATCTGCATGAAATGTAAATAACACAAGATGTATCGTGGTTCACCCCAAGGTTTGGGCTATGTCCACACTAATTGTATTTCTCTGAGAGTATTTGTGAGGGAGAGAGTGTGAGAGATTTGCTCTAGATAGGAGAGACCTAGGATTTGTGAGGGTGAGGAGGCCCTTTTATAGAATAAAGGCTCCTCCTCTAATTACATATTTGCCTCTTCCTTTATTACATAATTACATTTGAGTCTCCCGAGTATTTATACGAAGTCTAAATACAGAGGCCCTAAGTATGGTATAAACAGTAGTCCCCCAAGTCTTCAGTCAAGATAGTCTTTTGGCTGGAGACTTCAAATTCAGTCCATGTCTTGAACTGATGCTCGATGTAAGGCAGTGCTCAATTCTGAAATGATGCTCAACTAGAAGTAGCACATGCTGCGAGGCTGCGAGGCTCGGGCTTATGTTGCCTTGGTTGGCTTGGTTTGTGGCGTTGAAGGTGAGGGAGTCCCTTTTATAGAATAAAGGCTCGCTCCTCAATATATAAATGATGGGCTAGAGTTGATGCTCGCGGCGAGGCGGTTGCTCAATAGGCGGCGATGCTCTCTAATGGTGGTGAGGGAGTCCCTTTTATAGAATAAGGGCTCGCTCCTCAATACATAAGTGATGGGTTATGAGTGATGCTCGCGGCGAGGCGATTGCTCAGCTGGCGGCGTTGCTCTCTAATGAAGGTGAGGGAGTCCCTTTTATAAAATAAGGACTTGCTTCTCAGTACATGAATAATGGGTGCACTCTAATGAAAGTGAGGGAGTCCCTTTTATAAAATAAAGGCTCGCTCCTTAATACATAAATAATGGGCTAAGTCCCCTAAGTATTTTTCATGAGGCCAGTTGAGGCCCAATATATGGTACATAATGTAGTCCCCCAAGTCTTCGGTTAATAGAGTCTGTTGGCTGGAGACTTCAAATTGAATCCATGTATGAGCCGAAGTAGCGGTTGTTCGGAGGCGGTATTTGTATACCCTGCACTGAAGCTTTGTAGGTGAAGCTTTGCAAGTGAAGCTTTGAAGCTAGAGCTCTATAAATGACGTTTTTGAAGCTAGAGCTCTGTAAATGAAGCTTTTGAAGCTGATTGACATGAGTGATGCTTATGAATGTTTATGTTGATTGACATGAGTGATGCTCATGGATGTTGCCATGAGTGATGCTCATGAATGTTTATGTATGATTGATATGAGTGATGCTCATGAATGTTTATGTATGATTAACATGAGTAATGCTCATGTATAATTTGAAGTACTGGGCGTACTTTTGATCACCTGGTTGGTGGCATAAAGGATAGTACGGGTTGTACATTTCATCACCTGGTTGGTGGCATGAATGGCTAGTTACCAAATGATATTAGAGTACAGGTTGTACATTTCATCACCTGGTTGGTGGCATGAATGGCTAGTTGCCAAATGGTATTTAGAGTACGGGTTGTACATTTTATCACCTGGTTGGTGGTAATAGCGGTGGGTTGCCGAATAATTTTGGAGTACCAGACGTACTTTTGATCACCTGGCTGGTGGTAATAGCGGCAGGTAGCCGAATAATTTTAAAATACTGGGCGTACTTTTGATCGCCTGGTTGGAGCTATTTTGGGCTTACGGGCCTTCGCCCTCCACACAAAATGCTAGCCCATTTATTTTGGGCTTTGCAGTTTTTTTTTTTTACCTTCTGATGGGGTTTATACAGATATCTTCGAAAAATACGAAAAATAAATTAGATCATTCAAACATAAGGAAAGTAAACCACATCATTATGGTAGGGTGTTTATTCTTTGCTTTTGCTTTCTCTTTTGCTTTTGTTTTTCTGCTTTACTTTTCCTTTCCTGCTTTGTTTTTGCTTTCCCATGTGCTCTTTTCTTTTCTGCTTTTGTCACTCCATTTCTTTGCCCACCCATGTTCCCTATCCCTGTCTGATGCAATCCTTTAGGCGCAATTTTTGATAATCTCCAAATCCTTAAAGTAAGATCATCACTGCAGGTAATCATCTTGTCTCCATTTTGCTGTCATGCATGTGCAGCCTTGAATCTGCAGGTTGGCCACGATGGTGATGCTGTGCTGGCACTGCTGGAAAGGGAGGTTGGTGAGCTTGGCCACGATGCTTTGTGACTCTTGGATCTTCTGATTACAGAGGTTGCCGACGAAGCGTGGGTAATTTCCAGATGGGTCGTTGACGACGGCCGAAGGCGGGTATGACTCGGTTTGGGACGACAAAGGAAATGGAGTGATTGTGTCCTCTCACCTACCTATGGCGTACCTGATGGGTCATCTTGCCGCTGCTAGATCCCAACTGCTGCTGTTGGAGGTGTTGTCCGTGCTTGAGCCTGTCGAGTTTAGTGCAAGTCTTCACCACTTCAGTAGCTTAGAGCCACGCAGCCATTGTTATGAAACCAAATTCAGATCTTGCAACAACTGTGGCTTAGAGACTGACCAATGAAGCAGCTTCCATGGAAGAAATGAGGGAGATTACCCAAACGACGTGGTTTGGCGTCGGAATAGCTCGAGAAGATTGTGAGATTTCATATTCTGCCTTAGAGGTACACAACCAGAGAGCTCGAATTGATGTCGACCAGAACATTGCTCAGAACTCTGCTTCATGATCAGCCTCTTGAGTTCACTAGGACTCGTCCATGGGATCTCCCGAGCTTTCGAGCTGGATCATTTGCCTACTTCAGCGAGATAATGTGGCTTCTAATCAACGGGTGCCTTGTTTTACCAGGTCTTGGTGGACCAGAAGCGGTTGTTTTTCTTGTGGAGATGGAAGATCAGGCGCGGCGAGGCATCGCAAGAGGATTTGGGGAAGCAAAGGTGGGGCTTGGGGGAAAAACCTGGTGCGACGCAGGTGTCAGGGGTTTTGAAGAGGAGGAAGACGAATGTGACGGTGCCGATAAGGATGGTGACGTAGGAGAACCTCTTCAGGAATATCTCGATGTGCCTCTCCATAACGGAGGAGATCGGAAGCAAGCTTTGTATCGATGGCGGGTCTGAGTAGAAAACTGGATCTTCGTTTGCTGGATGATGTTACACTTGTCACCTTCTCCGGCAGTTGAATTTTCTGAAAAGCCCTCGTGTTTGATAAAATTGCATCTCTAGCCTGTTCTTTTTGCCTTGATTTCCAAACCTCTCTTTTCAGGTTTGCATCATTTTGGGTTTTGCAGATTTTGCAGATTCATGGTGGAAGTAAAAAAATGAAAGAGAACCGACATAGTTTTTTGTGTCGATTCCCACAGAAGGCGCCAAATGTTGATGCACAAAATCGGAGGTCTTGGAACAACGTAAATCCGACCGTGAATCTGCATGAAATGTAAATAACACAAGATGTATCGTGGTTCACCCTAAGGTTTGGGCTACGTCCACACTGATTGTATTTCTCTGAGAGTATTTGTGGGGGAGAGAGTGTGAGAGCTTTGCTCTATATAGGAGAGACCTAGGGTTTGTGAGGGTGAGGAGGCCCTAAGTATGGTATAAACAAAGTGTAAACTATTCGAACGACTAATACGGTAAGAAGATTGGAAACCAAATGAGAGAACATAGCAGAAAAATTGATGGGGAAAATAGATTAAGAAACGCAATTAAAAAACATAGAGGAACAAATGATGTTGTCCAATGTACATAATTTCTCTTATATAATAAGACAACTGTGTATATTTCTTGACCATCTGAGAGAACATTAAATTTGAATGAACTAATAGATGCATTAATCATAAGTAGGCGAAAACGGTTCGACAATTAGATCTTTTGAACATAAGTTAGGATTTTTGATAGGTTTAATTTGGGAAAAGTTTCGCTTTGGAGGAAGCCGACACACATGCTTGATGAGCCATAGCTCCTCATGGATCTGGAATTCTCATGTTAGGAAGACTAAATTTGCAAACTAAATGATGTGTCACCAATAGGAATGAGCACGTTTATCAACGTTTAAGTAATAAATCAATCATCAACTTCCATGTCTTTACTTTTCAAAATTTTGTCTAAATATTTCATCTCCCTAGCATTATCCCCATACTTTAACTCACGTTGTTAACAATTTTTTTCACCCCCAAGATTCGGTTTAAAGTTAGGGTGTCACCACAGAGACCATGAAAAGAATTTGACCTATATAAAAATTAAATTTATTAGCCATAGTTAAACTACCAACACGCGGTGCACTCTTATGGCAGTCTCTACTCTCGCCATCTAATATGGGTGCCTGGGTGGTAAATAAATTCAGACTCACACGACATTTATAAGTCTCTATGTTTATGAATTCAAATAGAGGAACTACAATATTTCAATTTAAAAATCCTACCTTTGGTCCAAGTTTCTCTCGTACAAATTTTAAATTTTATCATTTTTGAATCCCTTAGTTTTATGTTTATGAATTCAAATAGTTTCTCTTCTGAGAAAGCAATGAAGAGCATAGTTCTTATGAGTTTTAAAGTGGTTGATCGGTCAAGGGGCTTTCATTAATATCTACATATTGGATTGAGGGTG